GTTGGTTGCCATGGGAAATGCCCAGCTGAGGAGGACACTTCAACACTTAGACCAATTGGAAGAGAGAAGGAGAGAGAAAAGTTTGTCCAGCCCCCCTAGAGAAGGACGTGTTAGGAGATTAAGATCCACATGACGAATCATGGAGAGGTCAGAAAGGAGGAGGAACTGTGTTGCTCAGAGCTCTCTGTGGTAGCTCCTACACTATCTGTCATAAACATAACTCTTGTAGTGGTTAGTAATAAAAGTCTTCAGTTTTATTGCCTGCACCTGTTTGAGTAATTGGAGACATGAGTTACAACTTCATGAAAATCTACCAGTGTAGAACCTGCATCCAGACTTTTGTGATGGACTCATATATAGCAATGGATCCTTGGTTGCCCTTCCTGATAATCTTTGCAGAGGCACGTATTATATGCAGAGGGTTTGGCAGAGGGCAGTGGGGGAATTTCCATCCAGAACCGATCCAGTTCAAAGACAACAGAAAGAACGTAGTTTCAAAGAATATCTAATGCATTCTTTCCAATACAAGAAAGGAATAACCATGTCCAGATAAGGTCTCTACTTAGTTCTTCTTCCTAGGTGCACTCTCTTGTTCAATTCTGGCCTCAGCAACATGATATAGCATTTGGGGAAAAAGATGCAAACCAGAAGCCCAGCATTGGAGGTCACGATGGAGAAAATCTCCACAGCCACCATGTACTTTCCTTTTGTGCTCAAGTAGGAAGGCACAAAGGACAGCCAGACACTGCAAAATGCCAGCATGCTGAAGGTGATGAACTTGGCTTCATTGAATGTATCTGGTAAACGTCTGGCTAGGAAAGCCACCGTGAAGCTGACAAGAGCCAGGAAGCCTAAAAAGCCCAGGACACAAGAAAACATGGCGACTGACCCTTCATTACATTCCAGGACTATTTGACTTTCCATTGCATCCATATTCCAATCTGGAAATGGGGGAGAAGTTGCCAACCACACAGTGCAGATGCAGGCTTGAATAAAGAAACCAGAGAAAACTAGGAATGCTGCCAGTTTCTGGCCTACCCATTTCCTCACTCTGGACCCAGGCATGGTGGCCATGAAGGCGAGCACCACAATGATGGTCTTTGCTAAAATACAGGACACAGCCACTGAGAATGTGAGCCCAAAAGCACTTCGTCGAAGAAGGCAAGACAACTTGTCAGGTTTGCCAATGAATAGCAGAGCAACAAGGAAGCAGAGCTGAATGAAAACAAGGAGAGTGTAGGTGAGCTTCTGGTTGTTGGCTTTGACCAGGGGAGTGTCATTGTGCTTAATGAAGAGGCCCACAACCAGCACGGTGAGGAAAGTAAAGGCAAAGGCACAAATGGCCAAAGTGGTCCCCAAAGGTTCTTCATATGTCAGGAATGTGATGGATTTTGGAAGACATGAATCCTTTCTAGGGTTCGGATACTGATCTTCTGGACATTGAATACAGTCATCGATATCTACAAAAGAAAAGATGGGGTTATTTAATTCTTGCAAGTTGATCAGGAGCACTGTAAGATGTTTCAGTTGCAGGAACAGTCCTATTGATGAGGGATACCAGAATGATGGACACTTCTCTTGCATGGCACCCACCCCCATATACACACAGAAACACCCTTGCCTATGTTGCATGGTCTCATTTTCCTCTTCCTGTTTTTCCTACAGTATGTTGCATGGAAGAGCACCCACATCTCAGTACACATGTCAGAACCTATTAGCTCATCATGTTTAGGCTTCTTCGCAAAAGTCACAATTAGATGTTTATTTAATACACCTGTTTAAATGCACGCCAAGGAATTTCTGCAAAAGTCCTAACAAATAGAAGCATCCAATTTAATCAAACCAATAAAAATAAAACTCCTACCTACACAGTCTGAGATCTTTCCTTCCGGACATGCATGACAATCATAACAGCAGAAGGGTTGCCCTTCTTTTGTCTTTTTGCTAAATCCTGGAGGGCAATGGACATTGCAAAGAGAAATCGGTTGAGTCTGTTCAAAAATGAAGGAGAAGCATGATATGTTATGTCATCTGCTGCTAGAGCAGCCAATACCTTTTAAGTGAACATAGCCCAAAGGTTTTTCCATCCCTAGGAGCTCGTATTGCCAAACTTATTGTAACATTGTAAGTCACTTTGCTTCTCCTCTTTCCGCTAGAAAATAGTATTAAGTGTTGGCGATCTGCATTCCATTTTGTGCTAGCACTAGGGACCAGNCCTCTTTCCTCTAGAAAATAGTATTAAGTGAAAAAGGAAAGTGTTGGTGATCTGCATTCCATTTTTTGCTAGCACTTGGGACCAGATAGGATGTATGGGTTCCAGATATGTTTTGCAGGCCCCCAAGTTGTCTAGGACAGCGCTGCAAATCTTGTTGCATTTGATTACATATTCCTTTCAACTTTTCCTAAGATATTCTTACTGACTAAAACAAGAGATGATGCAGTCAATCATCCGTTTCTCCACATTTTTATTTCTGCTAAACTACGCTTTTCCAATTATTGACATTCTTGCCTAAGTTTTCAGTTTAATTGATCCACTGTGGGATATGTTTTGCAGACACTTCATAATCCAAATCTGTATTAACTTTGGTTTACATTTCTCAAGAGTATTTTTGTGTGCCATCTAGACTAATACAAGAAATTTCTTAATGAGATTGCAATGTTTTCATAAATATGTGAATGTTTGCGTTCATTTTTATCTAAAATATTCATTTTGTTGGACTGTTGATCAGAGGAAACCCCTAGAACATTTCAAGGGTATGTGAATTTTAGAGAATTTGTAAGAGGAGGGGAGGAGAGGGGAGGGGAGTTCCCCAATAGAAAAAGCTTGAGAACAGATTATAAGGAAAGTAGGCAGAAACCTGCCGTACCTTTTCCTTAGTTCACCATACATGCCTTCATTTGTCTTTTGATACAATTCACTGCATTTGAAATGCTGTTCTTTGTTTATTTTCCTTTTTTAACTACCCTGTGTCAACTGACATGAAAAACAATCCACTATCTGCACTGGTACATACAGCTCATTGCCTGCATGCATCTGACACTGCAGCAACCAGCCAAAATAAATGACCATTTTCAAGCAGATGAAATGAGCCTGAAACCCATAGAACTGAAATATGCAGCACTAATTGGGGAGAACACAGAGCTATGATAGGGTCTGAACAGTGAACTGTATATACATGGTTTGAAGATACCTCCGGATGTGTGAAAGGATCCTACCTGATTAAATCTGCTGGGCCAAACAATGGCATCCTTGCCAATGGTGAACACTCGGTCCTCAGCAGCAGCTGTGCGGTCCACATTTCCAATTTTAC